AGAGAGAGAGAGAGAGAGAGAGAGAGAGAGAGAGAGAGAGAGACTGGTCGGCGATCGTCGAGCGTTCGATTCGCATCGTTTTGTGCTTGCAGGCCCGTAATTAAGGAAGTAAGAAACGCGGGAGCGCGCCTGTCGTTCAGTTGCGAGAAAACCGATGTCCATTTTCCGCGAGTTCCGCCGTCGTTTCCGAGACACGTCCATTCTCATAATTAGGGATGTACACGGTTTATGAAATTTTGTATCGCGATTCAATCTTTTTTTTTTAAATTGCAACGAATGCGATACAATTTCGTGTCGCAAATATGATTTTAAATCGCGCGCGATTTTATATCGCAAATGCGACATAATCGCTAACGCGGTTTTTAATCATAAGGGAACCGGAAGCATGATGGGAATTGTAATGTTTAAATCAAAGTTAAGCATGTTAAAAATAAATAAATTAACTCTTTCTTTGTGCTGTATATCAAAATATTTTTTTAAACGTCCATTACAAGAAAACACGATTTTTACTGTGAAATAATAGTTAAGGCTCAAATCGTCCGTCTCTTTTTAATGATGTCAGAAGCGTGAAAACGTATGCCAAAAATTCTTATGAAATACGTCAAGATAAAAAGATATATCTAGAAAATGACACTTGTGATCGATTAAGCACATATCTCTAAAATATCCATGCACTATACTTTTGTTTTAATAATGAAAAATTAACCGTAAAATTGATATGACAGAATAATGAAGAAATTAGTTTAAAAAAAAAGGTTGAAAAAGGAAAGTGCTCGAAATATTTTAAAGGTAATCGATTGCAAATGTTATTTTGTGGATAAACGTTTTTATCTCGACGTATTTTGCAAGAATTTTTAGCATATTTCCTCGCTTCTGACGTCATTAAAAAAATGGACATTACGAACACCCAAGAGCCTTAAAAATGAAAGCTTGATGAAATTGATAAGTGATGTTTTCTTAAAAACTCATCACTTGACCTCGTTATGCTTTCTACGCGCGGCAAAATAAGAAATATTTTACAAAATAGGAAATATTTAACTTCTTTATTTCTGAATAATTAATTTTTCAATTGTAGCCAACGTTTAAATGTTTTTAAAAGTGACTCATTAGCAACATATATATAAAGATATATTATATTAGCACGTTTAATTAATCATAATTATTTGTTGACATTTTTCTCATAAAACAAAACATAAGACTATCTCTTTTATTACTTTTTTTATTAAAATACTGATGACAATCAATATTGAGTATAATCTTTACTAATCTTTTGAAACATGTACAAAAAAAATATATACAATATAAAATATTTAAAAAATATATAAATGATATTATATATATATATATATATATATATATATATATAAATTATATATAAAAGAAATAATAAACTGAACATTTTAAGACTGTTATAATGACATAATCCCATTATGCCTCTAAATATATATAAGTTTGCATCAGATAGTATAAAATATCACAAATTGTGTTGCGCGATATATGCACAAAATACTCAACTATACAATGACGAATGATTTTAAATTACAGACGCGATTTCGCGATAAAAATCCAATTACGTATCGCATTGCGATTCAAGAAAATCGCAATGCTTGTGACATCGCACGCATTATTTGCATATTGCAAAATCGCACATCCTTACCCTCATCTCCCGGGTTTCTGTGTCTTCTTTCCTCTTACACACCGTGCAATCTCTCACAGTAAGTCACTTCGGTAAGTAGGACTGTTACGTACGGCGGGCTCGAAGGGGGCAAGTTGCTCGAAATCTCGCCGCGGCGAGATCCGACAAAAATCGTGACTTTCGAATTTTTCCCGAGCGATACCGAGACGCTCGCTTTGAGTAGAGTATCGCTTCGGCGGCGCGTTAACGAGATCTTTACGATTGTATCGCGGCGTTTACTCCACTTCTCTCTCCCCGGATCGACGATGAGATTCCGGACGCCGCGGACAAAAGTCTCGGTCTTTCGCCGGAATTAACCGTGAAATTCCTTTCTCCGTCGCGGTCCTCCTTCCGTTCCCATTAAAAGTCGCCCAGACGCGTACGCCTGTCGCGGTAATTAATTAATAAACGTGCTCGGCGCATTAATTGTTCCGCGACTCCACCTAGTGGCTTTCACGGTGGCGCGTTTTTAGTAGTGCCTCGCTCTCGTCGCTAATTACGTCGAGATTTTGGCGCCATGTATTTTATCTGTCACTCGGCTCAATAATACAGTATTCATCGAGGAGGAAAAAGAGGAAGACGGTTGAAAACCGGTAAGATTTCTTCTTTTCTTGCTCCTTGTCCATGTGTGTAAGATAAATGTTTTAATAATTGGACTAACAAGACAACACGATCAGTTTTATATTTTTGTTAATAAGTAATTAATGGTGTGTTGCTAATAAAACTAACGTTTATATAAAACTAATTTGTTAGCGATCAAAAATATCGAATAGGAAATGAAATAATCAATAAATATCAATTACAATCTTAATGAAATATTAGATAATGTCAGTTGTACCAGTAATCGAACTGGAAAACGGAGGAAAAGGATTGTAGGAAGAGAAAGATTCCTGTAAGATGTTTCTACTCAGCGCCAATTGCTCTCAGTTATCTTAATCGAGTTTTAATGCAGCTGTTTGCTCAGACAAATACTTTCACAGGTCACAGTGGCAGAAATATTATTTCTCGTCAAGGAGTTTTTCGTCTAGTCTCCATTCACTTGTTCGAGTTGAAGTTTTTTCGTGCATCAAATGCAATATCTCTCATATCTCGATGTATCGTTACATATCCCGAAAATTCATTAAAATTTCATATCGTTGGCTTCAATTAAAAGCAAAAATTTGCTAGAAGTGCCTGCGATAATTAATTATACGATGTATAAAAGAAAACAGACACGGGAATCCAGGAATTAAGGATATAGAAAAGTTTCTCTCCCTCTTTTATTTTAATAAAAATATATTGTGCAAAAAATGCATTATAAATATTATTGTACCAAAATTATAACGCAATAATTCTTGTATCTCGATATCGTCACGAGGATTCATCCAAATTTCATACTGTCGACTACAATTGAAAGCAAAAATTTGCTAGAATTGGCTGCATTAGTTAATTATATAATTATATACAGGGTGAATATTATATACCGGAACACCTGAATATCTCGAAAACAAAGCGTTGTATAAAAAAATGTTAAATACAAAAGTTGTAGGGTTTAAAAAGATCTATTTTATGATATTAGCAGTTTGACCTTGAGTTGCGTCATAAAGATCAGGTCAAGGTCACAATGATGTTTTTAAATGGATACCCCCATTTTTTATTGTATATTCTTGTAGCTTATCTCGAGAGCTTTCCAAAACACTATACTTAAGTATTTTTTCGTTAAGTACTTTTCGAGTTAAGAGGCTTCAAAGTTACGCTCTTTAGCATTAGCGCGCGGCCGATTAAGGCAAGAGGAAAATCATATCCGGCCGATTAAGGTAAGCTAAGGCAGAGAAAAACGTAAACACAAGCGCGGTAAACGAGAGCTGCCCTTGCGTTTACGTTTTTTAGGCCATCAGCCTTACGCTATTTACTATTAATACGAGCGCGCGTTCGTGCTCGTCACTACGGTATCCACGCGCGCTAATGCTAAAGAGCGTAACTTTGAAGCCTCTTAACTCGAAAAGTACTTAACGAAAAAATACTTAAGTATAGTGTTTTGGAAAGCTCTCGAGATAAGCTACAAGAATATACAATAAAAAATGGGGGTATCCATTTAAAAACATCATTGTGACCTTGACCTGATCTTTATGACGCAACTCAAGGTCAAACTGCTAATATCATAAAATAGATCTTTTTAAACCCTACAACTTTTGTATTTAACATTTTTTTATACAACGCTTTGTTTTCGAGATATTCAGGTGTTCCGGTATATAATATTCACCCTGTATGTAAATAATTGTATAAGTATTGTTGCATAAGAAGAAAAAAATGCGAGGATCTGGGAGTTGAGAGTACAGAAAAGTTCCTCTGTCTCTCTTTCTTTCTTTATTCTTTATGTAACGAAAATATATTGCGAAACGCCTTATAAATAATATTACTATATCAAACCGCAGCATCATGTCTCAAGATCATCACAGAGATCCATCAAAATTCCATGCTGTCGGCTGTAACTGAAAGCAAAGATTCGTTAAAGTAAATTGCTAGAATAGATTGATAATTAACTGTATAGAGTCATTGGCAAAAAGACTACAATTCCTTTTCAGACCTCCACAACGTATCCATATATAATCCAATAAAAGAATTCAATAAAAGAATTTATACTCCTTGAAATCACATCATCCAAAGCTCCTACAATTTACGAATTAAAAGATTTGTTCTTTTTAGGTGAACCAAGTTGCGCTTCTTGCCTTTAAAATGAAACAATAGATCTGTTATTTTTAGCTAAATTAGCTTGCATTTTATATATTTACAATTAAGCAATTGTATGATCAAGCATTAAAGAGAATAGAGATGCAGTTCCAATATAGCTAAAAAATTTTATAATTAATCTAGTTTATAAATATTTGTATATAAAGACCAAAACACACACAATAAGAATGTCCAGATTTAAACTAATTCAACTAAAGAGAACAAGTCTAAAATCATCCAGTATGTCTCAATTATGAATGCAATGAATGGAATGTATGCTTTTCTCTGAGCGTCAACTTAGATAGAAGCATATATCTCGCGAAAAAAGTTAATTAAATATTAATGCAGAAGCTAATAAGATTTCTTAAAAAATTTCTTTCCTATTAAATATTGGACGCATCCGAATTTCATCGAGATAAATGTGTGTGAATTTCCCACCATTGACTATACGCAAATGGATAATTAAACTCATCCAATACTCACGTTTTCCTTTCAGTCTCTGCTCGCGTCTCTCGGCCTCCAAGTGTCGTAAGAATTCCTGAAACACGTGGAGTGACTTGTTCAAACTCGTCTTTTTATAATCCTTGATACGCTTCTTATTCAGGTCATAAGTCTCTTCCTCGGCCTTGTCCTTCACGTCGTACACGTTGATCTCTTCAATCAACGTCATTATGGTGGGAACCTTGTCGGGATCAAACTTATCGACCGCGTTCGCATTGAATGGTATACAAATCTTGCCGGTCTTCGGATGGACGCAGAACGGCGACTTCAGTAAATGGTTTAAACCTTTGCTCACATTGATGTCCAATCTCGGGTAAGAATATTGCAATTTCACCTCTTCTACCAGATGACGGTACAAGTACCATTTCCGGTCCCCCTGAAATTCATAAGTCAATTGTCTCATTTTTTATGGTATACTTGTTCGCAGAACTTGTTTGCAGAACAATTTGCAGAACACATATTTTTCGACACATTTCGAGACGCATTCAACATCCAATGTGAGGAAACCTTTCTTTCGAGAATTATTCAAAAAGGAAATTCTCCTATTGAAAACGTCGACTGCTTTCTGAAGTATATTTCGAATAAAACATGTTGAAATCAGGGTTGTGCAGTAGATTTCGATATTATTACGTCTACACAGTTTACTCATTTTTTATGTAATAAATACACAGTCTTTTTTCATGTAGACAATGTAAACTATATAGAGAGAGAAAGGAGAGAGAGAGAGAGAGAATATTGTAGATTATATTAAAATATATAAAAAAAACAAGTAATTAAGTTAAGAATTGCCGTATTTGTTTTAGGTTTTAATTATAAATGTTAAAATAATTAATTCTATGAAATTTTTATTTCATTATGTAACAAATTAGTAAATTGAACTCTGAAAGTAAGAATGAGGATTTTGTGGACTCTAACTTATTTACGGAACAACGTTTATAAATTTATATCAGTATTCTAAAGGTTACATAAAAGTAGACTTTTCTTCATTAATTTTGAAGCAAGCTATATATTCATATATTCTTTTAACGACATTCTTCGCTAAGCTAACATTCTTAGCTGACATCTAATTTTTAAACAACATCCATAAATATAATTATTGTTGTCTATATAAATAACAGCTTCTACAGCCCATATTGTCTACATATAGGCGTAGAATATTATAATTTACACGTAACCGTTCAACTCTGATCGATGAAATTTACTTTTTATTAAATTGATTAAGTCTCAGAAGTTCTTTCATTGCGTTCCAAACTAAATGATAAAAAAGTGTTCCAACCATTTTGGAACAAGGTGTACACTGGTTGCAAAACGATTCAGATAAAGTTGGGATTTCATGAAACTGTCAACACTGAAAATTACTATCCCCCCCTTTCCCCCCCGATGAGTTCGCATAATAATTACATTATTATTTATTTTTATTTATGATTATTAATTATATGATTAGTGCCTTCGGTAATAACTACAAATTTTGACAGTTTTGTGAGCTTCATTGTTCGCGATTAAACCGTTCTGCAACAACATGTACACATGCAGTGAGAAAGCGAGATCATATACATGATAGTCGTACCCCTGTCCGTTTAGATTCAACAAATTGTACGAAGATGTTCCACCTTGCCTCGCTGGTGCTTTCCTTACTGAACAACGCCTTCATCTCTTGTCTGTCCTCGTCGTTAGGCAGTATCGGCAGAAACTTTTCGATTCCCTCTTCCGTGCCCAACATATTCTGCTCTTTGACACACATTTCAATGAAGACGGGGTCAATTATGTCGAGAGCGCGTCTGCAACGTGTCGCACATATGTATTACTATCTGCACCAACGATTCCTACTTAGAATATCGAACATTATGTAGACTTACTTAATAGAGTGATGAATCTTATCGCCAGTAAGATGCACCTTCTTCTTCATGAATTCACCTCCACCTATAATCTGCAAATATTCAGCGACTGCTGCACGAACCGGCCCCGATAAGCTACGTGCTGCAGAGTCGCATACCCAACAATGAATACCTCTTCTGCCCGAAAATACCCATAAGATATGCTTATAGCCAAAATCCACTGTAACAGCCAACGATCAATTCATTAAAGATATCATTAAAAGGCAGCAATCAGAGTTATAAGAATATCGATTAAATTCTTCTCGACTCAACAGTTTATTTGAACAAATATATTTCAATTCAGTTAACTGACTTGAGCAAAATCAAATGAAGATTTTTCAATTAATAATTGATTTAAACGAATCCATTCAATTGATGATTGATATGAGTGAAGAGAATCAAAGATCATTCAATTGATGGTTTGTTTCAACAAATTCAATTAAAACCGTTCAATTGATAACTGATATGAACAGAGAAGCAAAGATTGTTCAATTAATGATTAAACTTAACAAATTTAATTAAAAACCGTTTAATCCAGTAATCTTTGATTGAATTTGTAGAAATCAATTATCAATTGAGCAGCCTCTAAATAAATTAGCTCATATTATTTGTCAATTAAACATGGTTATTGATGATTAATGACTATTGATTATTGAGTAATTAATGACTTGCAACACATTAATCATTTTAAAAAGTAATTAAAACTTAAAGTAATTACAATTTAAAAAGTAGTTAAAACTTAAAGTCATTACAATTTAAAAAGTAATTACAACTCTGCACTCTCTATAACATATAAAATAAATAGCAAATTACTATGCAATTAATGATATTACTGATATACTGATATTTTTTTTATCTCAGCTTCTTACATCTCAGTGCATTGTCTAATATTTTGCAGGCAAGTGACATGAACTTCCAACATTTGCTACAAATGTCAGCCCCTTTGCAACATGTTCTCACTTCATCATAATCAGTCATATCTATGTCGAAGACTAATTCCCTCTCAACTGGCTGAAAATTAGGACCTCTCCTCTGATCCTTAGGCCTGAAATCAGATGCAAGATTTTGTAGATTAATATGTAACAGCTTGAAAACATCTAATAATATGTAGTAGGAATTATTGCGATATTATACTGGGCATTGTAAACCGCTCCTATATCAATCTTATGTGGCAGCAGCCTTTTAATTTCGTCCGACAGTCCCTTCTGATCGTTGAAAGACTGATAACGTATGTAAATATCGTCTGAGAGTGTAAACGAAAATTCTCTTTTGTTGAAAGTGCCAGCTGAAAGGAAGTTGAGACCAAGCATGACATTGTGTTATACAATACGTTATATGTCGACTAAGAGCTCGAGACTTACCGTTTCCATAACTCAGCCATCTGTGATAATCAGCGAATGGAAACAATCTCGAGTAATAAACTGGCAACAAGTCGAGCAGATCCGATACGTCACTCATCCCGTGTATATCTCTATAAACGTCAATGGGAAATTGTACACTCGGAGCCTTCTAATTTGCTGTTGATTTTTCTGCACAAATAACGTCGCGTGATTTACTTTCATGTGTAAAACTCAAGATGTCAAACAGCCCAGCGTAAAGAATTATGTTGGCGGGAACGTAAAATGGTCCGTACAACTATGACAGATTAGGTTAGGTCAGGTCAGGTTATGTTGGTTGGGTTAGATCAAATTAAATACAACGTATGCTCTTATTTTCTTTCCATCTCTATTATTTACTTTCGCTTATTGACTGACAGAAATTTAGTCTCGGTAGAATTAATTCAATTATATAATATAAGAATAATTGAATTAAGTATATAATAATGGACTTAATATAAGAATAAATGTGCTCTGTATTAGTAACATATTTTATTTACAATTTCATGTGCATGTGATGTAACATATATATATATATATAATGGTTTGCTAGCCATGTATATAAGTGAAAAATAATTCGTGATGTATCCTAACTTAATCTAACAGAAAAAAAAGAAAATAAAAATATGCAGGCATAAAACAATTGATACTTGTCTCAAATGTATAATTGTGTTCCTCTCTCTCATATGATAGTCTTTAAATTAAATGAAAACTATACCATGTGACTACTTATCTTGTATTTTTCCCTTGTTAAAGTATAATGCTAAATAATTTTTTAATATTTCTTAATAATTGTGCATGATTTTTTCCATTTGCACAAGTCAAATTTATTGCACTATCATAACACTCCAAGCATTATTTTTATGCGACATGAATATCACACAAAAAGTCTCATGGTATTTAAGACAAAAAAAGATATATAATACTATATAATTTTTTTCATACTCAATCATTAAAGAAAACTTTTTTTGATTAACAATCTATTTTGAAGTCCTTTATCTTTGTAAAAGAACTCGAAAATTGGATAACATTGCAGATCAAGCTTTGAATCGATTGCATAGTCAATGTAACATTTATTTATATGTTACTAATGTTCTGTAAACTCGATATTTTTATAAAAGGGTCAACTTTTTCAATTCATTAAGCTCTCGACATAAAAAGAAATCTCAAATTTATAGATATTCTGCTACATAAACAACACGCTATTACTTTATAACTTTAGATTTTCTGAAAACCCTGCATATAGAGATTATTCGTGCGTGCACTCTTATTTAATATATTTCTATATCGACACAAGTTTAATCATCGAAAATTATTCTCGTCTGTCTTATATTTTCATACTGCCATATTGACATCATAATATAATAGAGCTATATTAATTACATTTATTGAGTTGATATATACTTACTATGATATATATATATATATATATATACAGTGAGTGTAAAAAGTATTCATACACCAGAGATTGTCTTGAAAAAGGCCTGATGTACTTTTTACACTCATTGTATATATATATGTATATCATTACATATATTTACTTTTATATATATATATATATATGTGTGTGTGTGTGTGTGTGTATGTGTGTGTATTTTTCTTTCTCTTTCTCTTCTCCTCTCTTTGTGTTTTATAAGACCTACTTTATAATTATTTACAAAAAATTCTCTTACATCTGGTAACACTTACAATCATAGATTTCTCGGTAAGTATATGGTCTCTTCGTATAAATAAGTAAATCTCCAATATCGTCTAATCCATAAAAACTCGTGGAAAATATCTACGCAAGCTATACATGCCGCATATGCATATTTATATATATATATGTGTGTATGTATGTGTGTATATATACGTGTGTATATATACGTGTATATATATGTGTGTATTTGTGTGTGTAGCAATCACACCTAACAAACGAAAGGACATTCTCAGGCCGCTTTCCAGTTCATAACCTAACATCAAATAAATTGTTATGCTACGAAGTAATAGGCAATACGGATAAGCATCGATTGTCGTTTTACAACAATCGGGAAATGCGTTATCTCGAATATTTAAAGTATATTGCTCGTATTAATAGTTGCTATATTTGAAGCTATCCTATCTGAGATACTCAGATCTAAATTTAGAATTGAGTTTGAATTTTTTGTTTGAATCGTATAATATATTCGATATTACACACATTTGTAATCTTAATTCAGGTGAAAAACTTACATCTAACTAAATTCAAGCGACGTAATTATTATTAAACGACGTAATTATTATTGAAACTCTTCTCAAGTGAGATACTGAGGTTTGTACTAATAATCATTATATGAAACTCATTTCTGAAGTGAAATATTCAGATTTCAATTCAAAGTTAAATGAAAGATTTTTTGTTGAATCGCACTACAGATATAAATGTTACGCTTATCGTAATTCAGCTGAAAAAACTAGATCTGACTCCGAATAAAAATCTGAATATCTCATCTGAAAAATACTTCAATAACTATTAACACGGACCTTAGATTTAAATCCAGAGTTAGAGAAAAGTTTTTCAGTTGAATCGCGATTACAAGTACAAATGTCACATAAATCATAATTCAACTGTAAAACCTGGATCTAACTCCGAATAAAACCCCGAGTATCTCGCATAAGAAAAGTTTCAAGTGACAACTATTGATACGAGCTTAAACTCAAATCTGGATATCTCGTCTGACAAGTAAACCATCGGAGGTGACCCTCACCGATTTTGATGGGCCTTGGATATGTTGTAGAGCATCAAAAAAATTGGCTTTTTATGTAAATATAACCAAACAATATAAGAGTTATTATATAATGTTATGATATGGTCTTCAATATTAAAAAAGAAAAATTGGAAGTTAATTGGAAGTTAATGGTATATGCGCTGCGCTGTAGGCAGGTGTCGCGTTATTTTGTTTCTTCATATTTTCTTACATCATACTAAACAACTTCCTCTTGTGCATATTTTCTCATAATACTATATGTAAGTATATTAATTATAAACAAAACAAGGTATTATACAAAGTTGTATGAGAATTCTTGAAGTATGCTGCATAAGTACGGAAATACATTTGGCGTCGCTACCTCTCCAAAATTTTCTCTAAAAGATGAATATATTGACAATAAAATTTGTGAAAAATTTGTGTAGAATAATTGATTTTGAATAATTGTTGAGTAAAAATTGAACAGTAATAGATATAATGCGCTGACAATGAAGCAAATTCTTTATTCACGCATGCGTGCGTACAATATGAATAACACTTAAAGATTACACATAAGATACATATGTAAATAAATTAAAGATTACATATAAGGTACATATGTAACATTTATGGTACATATTGGGCGCAAAGATAATGTTCATGAAAAAAATGTGCCGCACAAAGTGATTTCTTACATCAAGAACAAATAATTATCGCAGTTTGGCCGCAAATATCACATGTTAATTTTGTATTAGTTGGTGATGAAAATTGGTTATGTGTTAATGATTGCAATTTCAAAATATTATTTCTAGTATGGAGATCTATTGCAAGATCTAACAACATAACCATGTCAGAAAAATATTTAATAAAATTTTTCCACAGTTGGAATCCGTATACATCTAATGGTTGTATTTGTCCCGTTGTGCCAGCCGGAATACTTAAAAATATAATGTTTGTAGCATATTCTGTTCTGCAATTATATTAGGACAATGACCAGTCCATGAATCTAATAGTAAAACTGATTGTGGTCCAACGTGCGAGAAAAAGACTTCTTTTAACTAAGTTTTTACATGAAACGATGTTAATTTACCAGATTTTGAAGTCATAGTAAAAATGTTAATACTATGAAAAGAGGCGATAACAATTCACTATCGGAAATTGTGGGTTGTATAGTGTAACTATGCTTTGATGAAACAGATTGTACAACTGATTCAACTTTTTATGTACTTTTTATATGTAGAGTACGACCAGCATGAAATTCTAGCTTTGCAGCTTTGATCAAAATTAAAATATTTTCTGGTCCGTAAGGACCAGAATTTCATGCTAGTCGTACTCTAACATATAAAGGTATAAACGCATAATTACATTATACAACCCACAATTTCAGCCGATGATAAATTGTTATCGCCTCTTTTCATAGTATTAAAAGAAGTTAGCGGAACATTTGGTCCAAGAATTCAAGAAACCATGTTCAAAACGTCTAACATTTTTACTATGGCTTCAAAATCTGGTAAATTAACATCATTTCATGTAAAAACTTGGTTAAAAAAAGTTTTTCCCGAACGTTGGACAATCAGTTTATTAGATTCATGGACTGGTCATTGCCCTAATATAATTGCAGAAACTAGAACAGAATACGCCACAAACATTGTATTTTTAAGTATTCCGGCTGGCACAACGGGAGAAATACAACCATTAGATGTATAGGGATATATAAGGATGTATACGGATGTATACGGATTCCAACTGTGGAAAAATTTTATTAAACATTTTTCTGACGGTTATGTTGTTAGATCTTGCAATAGATCTCCATACTATTAGAAATAATATTTTGAAATTGCAATCATTAACATAACCAATTTTCATCGCCAAAATTTAAAAATTTGTTTAAATACGTATGGTTTAAAAGTGGGTATGTACAAAATAAACCGATAGAATTTCAGACACCTGTACAATTCTGTTTCCAAACTAATACAAAATTAACATGTGATATTTGCGGCCAAACTGCGATAATTATTTGTTCTTGTAAGAAATTAATTAATTTGTTCTGGTGTAAAAAATCACTTTGTGCGGCACATTTCTTTCATGAACATCATCTTTGTGACCAATATATACTATAAATGTTACATATGTACCTTACTTATATGTAATCTTTGTGTTATTCATATTGTACACACGCATGCGTGAATAAAGAATTTGCTTCAATGTCAGCGTATTATATCCATTGCTGTTCTATTTTTACTCAACAATTATTTAAAATCAATTATTCAATTCAATCATTTATACAAATTTTATTGTCAATATATTCATCTTTTAGAGAAAATTTTGGAAAGAGCAACGCCAAATGTATTTCCGTACTTATGTATGCAGCATAATTCATGAATCCTCATATAACTTTGTTTACGGCATTCTAATTAATACACTTACATATAGTATTATGAGAAAATATGAGAGGAAGTTGTTTAGTACGGTGTAAGAAAATATGAAGAAACAAAATAACGCGACACCTACCTACAGCGCAGCGCATATATTATTAACTTCTAATACGTTTTTACTTTTTAATATTAAAGACCGTATCGTAACATTATATACAGTTGTATTTGGCTTTTTATGTTCTATAACTTTTGTTATAACAAAAATAAAAAAATTCGCAAATGTTTAAGAGAAGGGAGGGGATATTATAAATTTTCAATTTTTATAAAATTGAAATATACCCTCGTGAAGAGTATAAAATACCATACAACTTTTGTATAAAACATTGTTTTATATACCTCATAATTTAGCAAATATTCGCAAATATTTAGCAAAATAATTTAGCAAAAATTAAAAAAGCTATTATTTTTGAGGGATGGTTTCACCCCCTAAACCTTCTCTGAAGCAGATAAAAAAAATATGGGTCTCTTATTTTTTTCATGCTCTACAACATATCCAAAGCCCATCAAAATCGGTGAGGGTCACCTCCGACGGTTTACTTGTGAGAGTAAGTTTCAAGTAACGACGACTATTAACACTGATCCTTCTGTATTTATGCTTTAAAGAATCGAAGTGCTAGTTCGGTTTGTTTCTTTTCTTTAGCAAAAGCTATCGCGGCGCCCAAAGTCGCCGAGTAGAGCTCACTTCGCGTTATTTCTCTTGCGGCACCTTGACGAGGACCGTTCTGGTACCTTCAACGTCGGAGATGTTAATCTTCAACTCGTTGGCGAGTGCCTCGAGCTTATCCACGACCCTGGCAGTGTTCTGCCCTCCCGGATTCGGCGGTGGCCACACGTCGTCCAATGGTGGCTCGATGTACTTTCTGGTCGCCTTTGAGACGATATCCGATTGGGAGCCAAGCGTTCCTCCCATGTGGTTCACAGAAGAGACGTATTTGGGCGCCGTTTCACTCTCGAGGCGGGCGCGTTTGCAGAGTGGCATCTGTATCACTGGACCGTAGTCGTGATCCAGAAGTCCCTCTACCTCTTGCATTGGCTCCTCGTTGCATTGCTGGAGCTCCTCATCCATCAGCTGCTGCTTCGTGTACAGCAGGGTCCTCGAGCGACCTGGAATAAGAACGATCGTAGAATGTAAGTCGTGCCGTCATACAGCCGAATTTCGCTGAATTAATTGCGCTCAATTAAATCGGACACGTAAGCATCTGTGTCTTGGAAAGAGAAAAGTTCGCCTCTCTTCGGTTTCCGTTCGCGAGAAATCCTGAGAAATCCTGTAAAAAAATGCGGAGATTTTAGCGCCTGAAAATTCGCCGAGCTCAAGCGTAAATTCCACTCGTCCGAGACTCGGTTCTCGCTCCGATTGGAATTCTGTCCGTATCAAAAGCTGCGCCGCAGGTGAAAGAATTGTCTGAATAATAAGCGTGCGGCGCGAAAGGATCTCGAAAGGTGCTTTCCTGTCCTGTCCTCTTTTAGAAAGTAGTAAGACGACTTCTCAACGATCCCGTGGGCGCGTTCCGATTTCACCGTTCTTGCGTCTATACAGAGGCTTCTGATTATCCGATCGGCCAAACCGGCGATGATTAAATCGAAAAGTCACGTTTCCTGTCTCTTCTCGGCCGTGCTCTCTTTTTCCCTATTCTTTCTCGGTTTCCGCGCCTCGCAAACATCAATATTAATGAGCCATTCCAACTTAGAATAGGGCAAATTCTAAATTCGCCTGCCAAGTTAAAATAGAATTCGAAATTCGACCTCTGTAAAATGCAACGGCTGTTATAATTGCAAGCAGCAGTCACGACGAAATTCGAGGACACCTGTTCGACAGAAATTCGCTGAGCACGACTTATTTCGTCGCAATAAGTTACTCGACTAGAGACGTCGGCATGCAAATCACACATCTCACTCGCATGAAACACTCACGAAGAAATAAGAAATATTTCGACGTCGAGAAGAATTAAAGTCAAGGAATGATTTAGGAATTAACGCATGCGTTAACTTCGAATTTGCACATTATATAACACCATGCAGATATCTTTATCGATACCTATTATTGATATCATTGTTGATATTCTGTCTGTACTGTCTCTGCTTCATGGCTGTGTAAATAACGATAACACGATGAATAAGTAGGAGGCATCGTAAACTTGGGAATGTTATTCGTCGAAGGATATTTACAAACGTATCGTCGACCTCGAATTTTGTGCCTCGACATCACTTATATGCGCGGTGTCTTTATGTGTGCGTGTGTAAGTGTGCCCACGGTGTGTGCTTATTTGGAACTTATGATTACTCGTCGAAGGTTGGTCGGCCGACTTGTCGATAGCATCAAATGCTGTACACATTACTTGAAAAATTCGTAATATTTCTTCTCTTGCACAATATCGTCCAAGCGTAAAAATAAAGCAAGCAGCGGAACGAGAAAGCAAAACAATACTAAAAAAAAGAGAGAAGGAGAAGAGAAAGAAAAAGGAACAGTCGAGAAATTACGGCTTTCACAATTTTATGGGGTTCAATGTCCCAGTTTGGTCGGCGATGCTATCAGACCGATTCAACGTGTATCCATAACCAACCAACGTAACGGTCCGCGAAGTTTGGACAGCTAGGTCTATCGTACGGTAATGAAATGTGAAGTAGAGTGAAGAAATAAACATTCAGCACAATACATTCAAGTAAGACACTTCCATGGAAATAAATTACTCTCGCAATGAATCAGCAGTAAATGCAAGAGTAAAGTATAAGCAGTAAATATAAATAATAAGAATAAGTATATATATAAGTAAATCATAAACAGTAAATATATGCATCGCACGGTAATAAAATGTGAAGTAGAATGGATAAATAAATACTCAGCGCGATACATTCAAATAAGACATTTTTATGGAAACGAATTACTCTTGTAATGAATAAGCATAAATATAAGAGTAAAGTAAAGCAGTAAATGTAAGTTTAAGTAATAAGTAAAAGTAAATCATAAGCAAAACAAATATATCTATCGCGCGTTAATGAAATGTGAAGTAGAATGAAGAAATAAACACTCAGAGCAATACATCCAAGAAGATATTTTCATGCAAATGAATTACTCTCGTAATAAATAAGCAGTAAGTATAAGAGTAAAGCAGTAAATGTAAATAATAAGTATATATAAATTATAAACAGTAAATATAAGCATAAGTAAGTATATGAATAAGCATCAGCAAGTAGTAAAAAGATAACAAAAACATCCATGGAACAAGCAATTATTTGCTCGTTAAAAAGCCGATTAACTCGTCGATTAGCTCGCTCGTAGATTATCTCCGTTGACTAAACGATAGTCATTCTGAAAATTGCGAAAATGAACAGTAACGAAACTCACCCGCCAATGGCATTTTCTCCGGTTGCTCTTGCTCCTGCGTTAGGTCGTTGTTGTTATTGTTGGAGTGCGGCCGCAGATTCGGTACTACAACGAGGGCGAGCGAGAGCAGCAAGACCATCAGGCAGGTCGCCGGTTGGGCGCTCTTGTTGCCTTTTTGTATGAGCGCCTGTAGTCTCTTCAGCTGGCCGGCAAGACTCTGATTCTGCGACTGCAGCGCCTTGATGCGCTTCAGCAACGTCATGTTCTCCTCCGTGCACTGTTTCACGCGGTCCTCCAGTCCGTCCACGTACTCCTTTTTCCTCTTACGGGAGTCCTGTGCGGATATCTTGTTGCGGATCTTGCGCCTGATCCTCTTCAGCTCACGCTCTTCGTGCTTCGTCAGCGGATAATGGCTCGGCAACGTAATGCCCTCCTTCTGCAACAATCGCTTCTCCTCAGCGTTCAGCTTCAGCCGCGGATAAGGCGAGTCTGTTTCCGACATCTCCTCGCTAGAGTTGGAGCCCTTATCGCTGCTGGAGTCCTCTTGCTTGATAGTCATCTAATTGGACGGAACAAACGAGAAAGAGAGAGTTATGCAAAAATAGCGGAAGCAACGATCGCATACTTGAATGACTCGATGCTGTATATGTATCGCGATGTCAATACGTGTCATTAGGAATAGAAATCTTTTAACGAGTGGCGCGAAAAAAGATACAATCATCAAACAAAACGATCCGACGTAAGATGCTCGACGATTACGTAAGTCAGACCATGACTGCAATTAAAGAACTCGACTGGAATTACGTGTCTAAGAATAATTCGTCGGAGAAACTTTCTTGGATAGATATTACATTGCACATAATTGCTCACCTGAACAGGTTTATTGATGATATTTGCCTGGTTGATTTTGAAGCCTTTCAGGTTTCTCGCTTGTGTGGCATTGATAATTTTAATAGCTCGGACTTCTTTCATGTCTTTCAGAGTTACTGGCAACAGGATAGACCGCGGATTGCCCGAACCCATTGGAGTGACACGTATCAATTGTCGAATATTCCGTTTGGCGTTGCATGTCAAATTGCGGACGTTTATCGTATTCTCCTGTGGCGCAATGCGCGTCTGCTGCTTAGGTGTCGGGTCTGCAAAACACGTAGAGTTGTGTCTTCGTTTTTCTCTCACACGTCGTTGTCAAATGAATTTTTTCGTCGATGAAATAAAAATAAAATATAAGATTAAGACGAATGGAAGAAATTAAAATGAATGAATGATAATGATTTGTAATAAGAGGATAAAATTGATTGAAACAATTGGAATGAAATGCGTTTGTAAGCTTACAGTTTTCCACAACTGATCGAGATCTATTGCAAATATGACTTTAAAGCGTTGTTCAAACAATGTATGCACCCTCGTGTGAAGTCTCTCGCTCTAAACGAGTGACAATTGGTTCGAAGTGATAGCAAAAATATTGCCTATTCCGAACCACAAGAGTGAATATTTATATGAATGTAACTCAAAATCGTAAAGTGAATTCTTAATTTATGCAAATGAATACTGCGATCGAATTTGTTCCTGTAACGATGGAATACTCACACTGGCTCAACAGTTTTTTTATATTTATCAGGCTTAGAATCACAAAAATTTTTCAATCACACGCATGCATGAGGCAATTTAAAGAGAATAGCCATCCACTTTACATTACATATTGATAGAGTTCACAGATATGGTAACTTTAAAAAAAACAAAGAAAAAAATTTTCACAAGAACAGACAAAATACAAAATATGGCCTACATTTCTTACCACAAAGTTATCGATGCATTATTAATTCACAAATGTGTTAAGTATCAATAACAAGACATTTCAGACAAAGCATTTAAATGTTCATGACTTTGTAATAAGGTGTTTGTCTGAAAAAAGTCACTTAACAGATCTGTAAATTGATATATCGATATTAATTCTTGGTATTGAAAATAGTGTTAAAATATATTTTTAACATCATTTATTTTATTTCATTTTCCCATTTTTTACTGTCTACGAGCCAGAATTGTTAACCATCGTTAACTATGTCTCAGTAACCTTATTTTGTATCTTTTAATGATAGTATCGCTATCATTGCGTTGCACAAGTATAATATATGGTGGAAAAAAGGTTGCACAACTTAATATCTTAACGATAACGATACTGTCGTTCAAAGTTGCAAAATATACCTACAGGCGCATAATGTAATACGCGCTTTTATTCTTTCTGAGCGACAATTAGAGGTGTATTGTCCATATATAAAAAATAATAGAATTAAAAAAATAGAGATTAATCTACAGCGCATTTAAAAGTGATCACAAACAATTTGACATTGATTTAGAGTCTAGACCAAAAGTTATTTCATTTTGAAGTGTAAGCCCGGCGAACATGATGACGTTAAATGACATTTTAATGGCGCATTAGTGCCCTAACGCCAATAACATGTCATTAATACATCATTTGACATCATCCTACTACTACTCGGAAGTACTTTAAATCGTGTTGTTATGGAAATACATGACGTTGCTACTTTTAGTGAAAAAAAAAAGATAAAAAATAACAATAAAATCTCAAAATAGTATGCAAAATTTCATTATGACTCAGAGAGATAAAAGTTTTAAAGTCAAAAAAATATAAAATAAAGTAAATAAACCATAAAAATATGATGTTAAAATAGAAATGTGTTATGGAAATATATGATGTTGCTATTTTTAGTAAAGAAAAAAATAAAAAATAACAGAAATCTCTCAATTTTTGTACACATATATTTTAAATATTCAAAATTATGTGTGCAAAGTTTTATTGTGACTCAGAGAGATAAAAATTTAAGTCTAAGAAAATATAAAATAAAGTAAATAATATATAAAAGTGTGATGTTAAAGTGAAAATATGTTGTATTCAACTGTATCGCATATACCATGCGTTTTTATACGAAAAATAGGAATATCAGCGTATTTTTCGTTATTTTCTGCGGGAACATATGGGAATAATGCGGGCAATACATTCTTCAATATCAACGCAATGAGTTAAACATGAAGCTTTACCGATCTCAACAGCCGGTTGTTCCGCGACGATTGCTGCGTTCGCATTCGCGTTCGGCATACTGTTGTTTGGTGTCACAACGGCGACCAACGTTTGCCCCGCATAGTCCACCTCCTCGGCCACGTCAGTTACTGGTGAACCGATATTGGAACTCATGACGGATCGTACTGGGCTGTCCATGCTGCCAAGAGACTGGACGGGACTAACCGCAGGCTCGAAGTCTATGAAATCCTGCGGGCTGTTCAGGTTCGAGTTGATGATCTCGATCTGCTCATCCTCGTTACTGATCGACAAGAGCGGGCTCAATTGTTGTTCATAGGAGAGACTCTGCGCGCTGGAGAGTCCGCTGTCCGATAAGGAGAACGGACTCGTGTCTTCCAGATCCTTCTCGATCAAGAAATCCGGATGTTCCTCTTGCAATTTCATGATCGTGGCCAATAGGTCGTCCGAATTGGACGCCGCGAATTCTTCGGTCTGCATACAGAAAATTACATACTGCATTCAAGTATCTCAAAAGTTTATATATCTACCAATCTATCATAAACTCACCATAAGCATCAAATTTATTCAAAATACATTGAAATCTTTGTAGATTTAATATCTCAATCCAAAATATTAAAACAAAAATTTAATCCGCTTACTCTGAGAGAAAAAATGTCTAAGAAATAGTAAATATTTATTCGGTGGATACTAATAACATATTTAATAACATATTTACTTGTGCTAATATAAAATATTTTTCATGAAAATATTTTCTTTATTTATTCTATTTAAAAATAAAGAATTTATATTTAAATATATATGTTCTTATTATCCAGTAAATAAATATTTACTGTAAATTAATATTTATTTTAAATTAATACAGTAAATTAATATTTATTTTTTAGATATTTTTTCTCTAAGTATACTACATAGATCCGAACTAACTTTTCTTCGATAAAGTTTTATAATATTCTTGTAAAGAAAATTATAATATTTTTGTAAAGAAAATTTTTTTAAATTCTTTTTAGTACATAATAATGAGTTTTTTTTTAAACTTGTGCTGAGTATATTTTGAAACTATTATCAAGAAGATATTTCTTGCTGAAAATAATCGTTACTTAAAAGAAAGAAAATAAATTAAGGCTCCTGGGGAGTCGTATCATCCATCTCTTTTTAATGACGTCAGAAGCGAGAAAACGCATGCTAAAAATTCCTGCAAAATACGTCGAGATAAACAGATATATCCACAAAACGACATTTGCGATCGATTAAGTACACCTCTAAAATACTCCGTACACTTTCCTTTTGTTCTAACAATCAACAGATAATTATAAAATAAATGTGACGTGCAATCCTCTTTTCTAACCTAATTTCCTCATTATCTTGTCATATTAATTTTCCGATTATCTATTGATTTTTAGAACAAAAGGAAAGTGTACGGAGTATTTTATAGGTGTACTTAATCGATCGCAAATGTCGTTTTGTGGATATATCTGTTTATCTCGACGTATTTTGCAGGAATTTTTAGCATGCGTTTTCTCGCTTCTGACGTCATTAAAAAGAGATGGATGATGCGACTCCCCAGGAGCCTTAATTAATCTTTTTTTTTAGCGGTAAAATGATAATTTTCTTGTAAAATATCACGAATATCCAATCAGGATTGTACGTAAATATAACTATTTAATAATTGAATAATTGAAAATTATGCAAAAAGAAAATATTGAAAATTTTGCAGTTGGAAATTGAACAGTCGAGCATTTTTTTCGAAATAAGTGCGTCCGTCAAAGTGTCTTGCATTAACACTTTTATATGCACATAGTTTCATTTTACTAGTCAGTGGTTATCGTTTCGTGAAGAAATATTTCTTGAGATAATAACGATCTATAATTGTAACATTGCTATGTAAAGTTACATGTGCGGATTTATGTACATTTGATTTTTCTGAGAATTTTTCTCGATACGATTTGGAACGTAGCCGACGGTTCAATGAGAGGACTTAGGTTCGATTAATGCAGATTATTTTCATCGATTCTTTTACTTATACCGATTCAAAAACGTTATTTTCATGTGATCTTATTTTCTTTTCAAATAAAATAATATTAAAAGAGAGATAATTAAATCGTTCTTTCATCGTACATATCAACGATATATAAATAAATGAATAATATAAATATAACTAATTAATAGTTGCATTATTGAATATTGTGCTAAAGAGAAATTGAAAATCTTGCAGTTGGACATTGAACAGTCGAACATTTTTTGTCGAAAAAAATGCGACCGCCGAAGTATCGAGATAAGCGCATCGGGATAAAGACGAGAAAAAAAAATAATGCAGAGTCGAGACTAATCGAAGGCCGAAAAATGTGTGACAACAAGTTCGATAAATGCATAATCAATAGTAATACAACGCAGTAAGTCAAATACTGCTTATCTGCGTTATCGCTAAAAACGAAGTGAAATGAGATATTGGTCTTATCAAGGAGGAGAGGAGATAGAGGGACAGAATACTAGAAATATTTCTTCGTCGAACTTCGACGTGACAAGTCCTCGACTATTATCGTATTTCCTTTTCAGGTAACTTGTGAGTGATTTCACCATCGATTTTAAACAATGTTAATGCGTGTCGACTCTTACAATCGAAAAAACCGAGGTAGTTATGAGATACAAGTTGCCGTATCAGTACGCACGGGGTAGGGTTTAAGGCTGACCACACGAGAAGTTCCGTAACCTAACGGTATTCTACATTCGAAGGTCATTCGCCGTACGATGACTAAAAAAACTTTACCGACCATACCAGTTCGGGCAGAGAAACACGAAGTGATCTGGAGATCACTGAAATTTATTATCATGTGGCGCACAAAGGACGTCGATTTTTTATTTTTTAACATTATTTCTCACGTTAAAAAAAAAGTTACATCTTATAACTTGATATGATAAGAAAAAATAGAAAGATATTTGTTACATACATTATTATACCTTATGTAATAATTCATCAATAATTGATTATTATTAAATAAAATACTATTAGAGAGAGTTGTAATAATTATTAATTAATTATATTTATCATTTAAGTACTTATTTATAACATGAGTGTAAAAACGACGGTAATTTTAATATTGTTTTAATATCTCAATAAGAAAGAAAGTTTTAATAACTTTTTTGTGTATGAGTCGGGACAGTTATAAAAATTAATAAATAGTCTATACTGAGAGAAAAAAATGCTTGAAAATTTATTTGTAGGACAAAAATTGATTTCCCGAGGAAACAAAAATTTTATTTCGCAAAAATATATTTTATTTCACAGAAATAAGCTTTGTATAACACAAATAAATTTTTAAATATTTTTTTCTTAGTACATGTGTCGTATGACACGTGAGACGCGACATACGCATTTATCATAAATTCACACGACGCACATATTTTTTGCTCTCATTGTTCGCATTTGTAGACACAAAAAAATACATATTTACTGCATTCAACAAAATATTATACTGAGGAAAAATATTTGAAAATTTATTTGGATATAAAGTTTATTTCTGTGAGATAGAATTTATTTCCGTAGATAAATTTTATATTTCACAAATCAATTTTCAAGTATTTTTCTTTCAATGTACTTGTTTCAAATATTTTATAAGTTTATAAATCTATAAATCTATCATAAGTTCATCAGAGCATTGTAAGCATAAAATTTATTCAAAATCATAGCATACATTTTGTTAATCCTAAAGTTAAATATTTCAATTAGGAATACTAAATTAAAACAAATATTCGGTTTACTTGTTACATATACTAAAAAAAATGGTTGATCTAACTAAAATTATCATAATTTTTTACCTCAACTATTTTTTTTTTTTGGAGTAAAATGGCAGTAGGAACATGCATATAATTATTATCACTAACATTATAGTAGAATTTTATTAAAAAAATAGTTTTCCTGATCATAAAATTTATAGTGACTATTTCTCTACACAATTATATATATAGTTACAAATACAAACACTTTTTCTTCAATATAGAGTCCAGCCAACTTTTCCTTTGATAAAGTTTTACGATATTCTTGTAAAGAGAATAAATTCTTCTCTTGACTACACGATAATGAGCTTTTCTTGAATTGAAATAATGAGCATATTTTAAGGCTATTATCAGGAAAATATTCTCCACTGAAGACAATCATCACATGAATCGAGATAAAAATGACCTAGTTTATGTGTGTGTGATGGTAACTTACTCAATAAATTACGATAAATTACGGTAAATTACTCGGTAATTTTAGAAAACAGCAAAAATTATAATTTTTAGAAAGAAATTACAAAAATAAAAAAATGTTAGTATAAAGAGAGCAAAAAGAGAGCATTTGAGATGAGTAAAATACTTTATTTAATTCAAATTTATCATAAAATATTTTAATATTGTATATTGATATACTATATATAGCATATAGTAATTAGGAAGCTAGGTATATAGTAAGGACTTAACAAATTTTTTAAGTCTTAATCTATATTTTTTATATCATTTTACAGGCTTACAGCATTTTTATTTGTTACCATGCTGTTTCATTGACTAGACTGTGGTATATAATTGAAAATTTGTAGTAATATTTTAAGAAATGAAAACATCAATACTCTCAAAGAATTGTAAATAATTTCCTTTCTTTCATCTGAGAGACATTTCAAAGATTATTAGATTATTAGATATATATATTTGATAAGAATATAAGAAGATTATTTTGTCTTATGCGTTAGTGCCGAAAACACGAATATTTGTCCATAAATAAAAAATATCAAAAATACTGCATTTTACCAAAATTACTAATAAATTATTATTATCTTACCGTAATTTTACTGTAAGTAACGTTGAATCTGACATAACTTTATATCTCTATTTATATAAGAAAGAAAACGAACTTGAGTAAAGTCGTTTTTCTCAGCAACAAAATGATATTTTTTGTTCGCATTCCTGTATACTTCGGCAAGCTCACTTTCGCGTGTTTCGCTCAGAGAAGTGCGTCACGATATCGTGCAACAATCGCGCGTCGCGCGAACAAGACGTTCACGTACATGCGCGCGACCACGTGGTGATTAGCGCGCCATATGTTAACGTCCCGAAGAATGCGGGCACGTTGCCCGGCGACGTTCTCCGTCGCGTGAGGCCGGCCGAGAAATTGCTCGCGCACGCGGAAACGCGAGTGTCGTCGGCTGAGTCCGCGGAACGCGATTTCCAAAGAAGAATCCACCACCGACATGGAAAAGAACGCACCGACCGTCTCCTTCGGTTCGTTGCACCCCGCGTGGCGGCTCATCGTCGCCACGCGCACCGTGCACGTATGGGTTCTACCATATGTTAACGCGGATCAAGCACGTTAGTGCACGTCGCGAAATTTATCAATGGCTCCGTTCGTTTTGGAAGAACTTCCGAACTAGTGCAATAAAAGTTAAGTAGTGCAACCGTAAGCCTTAACCCTTTAAGACTCAGTTCTACAATCTCTAATTAACTTAACTGACTGGTTATTCCATTGGACTTGACCAAACGCATTTAGCGTTAAGAAGAGTTAATCAGAATTAACCAAAAACTGTTGAGACTTAACCGGTAGTTAAACGGAGATTGTGGAACTGGACTTAAGGCACATAAATCATGGAACATTCTAGTAAATTTTTTTTAATAAAATATTGTCAAAAACATTCTAAATAGCACTTTATAAGGTTTCAACTGCCCGGTCCTAAGTGGTCCCTATTGATACCAGTGATACTTAAAGGGTTAAGCTGCAAGAAATTGACTAATCACAATCGATTATTTTTTTCATATTTCACTATAATTAGTCAATTTCTTACGGCTTCTTTCTAAAGCTTAAGGATTAAGTCCTCATTGCAGAGTTTTAGAGTTGCACCGCTTTAGAGTTGAACAAGTATATCTTCTTTTACTATAACTTATTGCACTGGCGTGCATTTAATTTAGAAGTTCTTCGAAAATAAACAGACTTACGAAATCCGCGTTGCAACAATAAGACAAAGAGAGATAGAGAGAGAAAGAAAGAGATAAAAATACAATCAGAGATGGCCGGAAAAATCCAATGGGTGGAAAAAACCGTGATAAGTTCCGATTTTTATCGCTCTGGATTTTTAATAGAATAAACTGACAAAAAAACTGTAAAAATCACTAATACAACTTTATTTACTTGTTTATATAATATAAATATATATTTATACAACTTTATGCAAAAAAATACTTTTGCTTTAACAAATAAATCTTATAAATCCCTAGTAGTATAGTTTAAAAAACCAAACTGATATAATAACACAATCTTTTTTATAATTCAAATTAATATATATAAATAATATATATAAAATATATATAATTAATATATATATATATATATATATATATATATATATATATAATTATACATAATTAATATATATAAATAACATATATAAAATATATTTTTAAAACAAGAACTTTGGAAAAAATGTTACTAAATTTTACACTAATTTTTAATAAGAAAATAGTAATAATTATAATATAATTAAAAATCTTTACTGATATATAATTAAAAATCTTTACTGAAACTAAAAATTAAATATATAATTAAAAATCTTTGCTGATACAGGTCTGGTTCGCGTTTACTATTCGACATTGTGTAACAAAAACTAATATATTTGCTATATCGATTCTTAATTTATTACGGATTTTATTTTGAGGGAAAAAGGGAATAAAGTTTAAAAATTGGAAAACACTTTTTCAATTGACGCAGAACTCGCCAGACAGTTATGTAAGTGCATGATGAAATGAATTAAATCTGCAGGAAGATAATTATTTTTATTTCATGCTTTTCATTACGTTATAACATTCATATTTTTGTGTTTTTAAAGAAAAAAATATGATTTTGGAAAAGATTCAGCTTCAAAGGATTAATTAAAAGGATATAATTAACATATTTATTTTGTGATTTTTAATAGAAAAGACCAATTTTTGTCAGTTTTTTCGGAAAATACCGGTTTTTACTACTAGCATAGACTTTATAAAAAAAATATAGAATTTTGCCAATCCTGGATACAATGGTCGCGTTGTTGGAATTTTCATTCCACGTAAGTTCTAACACGAGTTAGCGCTAATCGAAAATAAAAGCTAATCGTTGCGTCAATCAGGAGCGCGATTATCTCTGTTATCTTACTAGAACTTCGTTCTTTTCAGCTGTACTCTTCGTTATTTGAGTAAAACAAGTCTCCTTTTTAGGTGAAACTTCGTTCCTTTTCAATTGTTAAATTATATACTTGTTTCATTTCAAAGGCAGAAAGTACAACTTTAAGTTTAACCAAGAGGAGAATAGACTTAAATATATAACTTGGCATTGAAGAGGAAAGAGGAACGAAGTTTTTCCAAGGCACACTGAGAAAAAGAAAATTTGAGAATTTAGTTATGAGATAAAAGATTTTTTCACAGAAATAAGCTTTGTATCTCACAAGTAAATTGCCAAGTATTTTTTTCTCAGTGCTGCACTAATTCAGTTAATAAGAACAGATCTCACATATCATCCATCTTTCTCGTTTGTTTCATCTGTTTTTAAACGGATCATCTAAAACGATGTACGATCAAACGCCTTCTGCGTTTAATTGCCGTTGTTAATCACTTTGTCCTTCACTTCGAGTAACAATTTAATAAGTGTTTGCAATTAATATCGCCTTATTTTCCTTCTGTGAGAAAAATGATCAATAATGTTAAGACGAGTTATAAATGAGAAAACAATTAACACGCTCGCTACTAACGCGTCATCAATACTTCCTGTATAATAATTCTTCATCCTCTCTCTATATATATCCACATCAACAAATTAAGTCTGTTTACACAATTGCTTAAAACAAATGTGAACAATGTAAACCGTGAAAAAAATTCTCAATGTGAACCGTGAAAAAAATTCTCAATGTGAACCGTGAAAAAAATTCTCCAAATAAACCGTGTTTGCGAACGCATTAAGGAGGTCAAAATGATTCCATATAACGGCAGTAACGGACCGATTGCTATTATACTAGAATTGACAATTTAGTAATTCATTAATTATTCGTTACATATAAATCCTAGTTTATTTATTCGGCATATTTCGCTACTACGTTTATCGTACAATATGGAAATTTTCGGTGCTTCGTTCATGTTTCTGTGTGTGCTAGATATTACATTATCATATTTTTAAATAGATTTCTCTTTCTGTTTCTCTTTCATTCGAGGCTTATCATCGTATTGTTACAAAGTGAACGACAGAGGTGAATCAAAATCTGACGAAATACCGTCGGAATCTTGCTGTTGTAGTGATTCAGTTCTTCCTCATTTCTTCATGCGCCATGTTACCTCAGAATTTCACGATCAAGAGAGAGAGAGACGAACCGTCAATTCGGTCTGAACAATTCCTGTTATTCACGACGAAACGTGCGACGGTCACACCGAATACCGTAAACCAACCGTACAGTAACGTCTGACGTGAGTCGATCAAGGTTTCTGTCACAAACAGCGATATCCTTCTCTGTCATTGTTTAACCATACGGAGTGTTCCGCGCAATTAATTATACTTACTAAACACAAAATGTGAAATATAGCAAACATCGACTACCTTCGATCGTTGTGTGACAAAACAGTTATTTTGTTATATTTACATCAGTCTTACGTTCCCCATGAAACTTTTTCGAGTCGATGACGCGCACGCAGAAAAAGAAATTATCCAATTCCAATTAATGTATTCAAATTTCTTAATAATTATTGCTTCATGTATATATATACGTAAGTATATATATAGTATGTACACGCAAAGCAATAACTGTTAATTTAAGTATATTATTTTTAAGAGTGGACAATAATTTATATATATATATAAATTTTATTATTTATATTATTATTTATATATATTATATATTATTTATATTATTTATACTAATAAAACCAACAATATATAATTTCGTTAGAAAAATTTTAAAACCTCAAATTTTGACAATGTTATAATTTTACTTGAATATTATAAGTCTCGTAAGAAGTGCAATTTGATTAACTTGATGATAATATACATATCTTCCGTTTGAAAATATACTCTCAGTACATTTCGTGCTTTCCATTTATGAAAATTATTTTTGAATAATAAAAATATATTTTTTCTCGTTGAATTAAAACGTATAAAATGTACTTGCAAGTAACTTATCTTCGTTTAACATTTATATAATCTCACTTTGACATTTGCATTTCAAAAGTACTTTCAAAATAAGAATGTCCTGTCTTTCTGCGCAAATGGACCACGCGTGAATGGTGAACGCGCATTCTCTCTTTTTTTCTTAGAGCAATACTCGATCACAGGTAAGATTCCTCTCGCCAGAGATAATCGAGAAACGCCGACGGCGCAAGCGAGAGCTGCGAGAGCGCAGCTCGCCAAGAGAGCTCGCGGTAGTATTAAAAGCACGCATACAAAGACGTGGGAGATTACAGGGAAACTAGGTCTATTTGGGACTTACCGCGATGATGTCGTCACACATGTGATCGACGAGCATCTCATCCTTAACGGTATCCTTGAGGAATGCGTCGTCCAGCAAATCCATCAGATTTATCTCCGACAACGACATCACTGACGTCGATTTTTTTCCGCAGTATATATATATATATGACACTATACCGATATATATATATTATTGTATGATGTGCAAAAACGTGCACGCGCGGCTCTTTCTTTCTTTATTTATTCCTCTTGTTCTTCCTCCTTGTCTATCTCATCACCAGCCGCCACCGGCTGCTACCATTCGAAGTGGCGCACACTGCCGAAGTGAACGACGGCGAGCGTCGCGTCCTCGTGGCCGCAACTGGTCCCGGCGCTGAACGACACTCGCGATCTCGCTGCGTTCCGTCCGCACACGAAACCCTGAGAACGGTGAGCCTCGTGCGGCCGAGCGTCGATTAACTCGATCTTCGCCCCACCCTCGAACACGCCGAGATTCGACGACAACCGCCTCGGCCCGATCGTGTCGTCTTTCCGCCGCACCACGACTACGTCGTCGTGCGACACTCTTCACATCTTCGCCGGTGAGCCGTTTTCTTCCTCCTGCTCCTCCTCGTCGTTGTCGTTGTAGTTTAGCGACGCCGCTGCGAAAACCGAAGTCACGCTCGTTCCTTGGGACACTATGCGAGCGCTGCGAAGCACTAGCGACCTAACTGCCAACGTGGCACGCAGTGAACACAAGTTCACAGAATAAGCTATCACACACGTGCAAGTATGTGCGTGTGTCAGACTTAGGCTGCGTTCGCTTTGGGCGCTTACGTGCTGTAAGCGTCATTCTATCTTTATCGTTCATTACATGCGGGAAGAAAATAGAATGACGCTTACAGCGCATAAAGCCCATTCTACAATTGCGTGAACGTGGTGTAAGTGGTTGTATGTGATTACGACAACCAATCAGAATAAAGCAATCAGTAAATAAAACATTTGGATTGGTTGACTTTTACGATCACGACTACGCTTACGCAATTGTAGAATGGGCTTAAGCGCCCAAAGCGAACGCACTTTAGTGGGGAGCGGTGCACTTGGACACGGTGCATTTGGATACAGCCAATCACAGCACCGTGTGATTAGAGACATTTGTAGGGTCCCTTGGAACAGCGACTTGTGATTAGACTGTGTCCAATTACCCGTGTCCAACTGATATACACCCACCTTAATGTACGTAGGTTTTGGCATATGGGGATAACCTTTTCCCCCGGAGCCATTACAGAACAGAACAGAACTTAGTGTACGTAGACTGCGTACTGGGCTGAGCGTGCGTCAGAGAATAGAAAGAGACAGAACATTTTCGATCGCCATTCCATCTTTTTCTAACAACGCGTCTAGACAAAGACAGAATGTTGATCGCATGCTATTGAAAGCATGCTATTTTTTCCTTTTTCCTAATGCGCCCAAACTATAGGAAACAATGGGCGCGTTCAGCAGACACAACAATTGTATACTATTGAGTGATTCGTAAATGTAATTGGTCTAAATAGAGGGAACCAACAGAATAAACCAATAAACATTGAGTGCTCACTGAACGCTTTTATCTGCTGAACGCACCCAATGGGTGCGTTCAGCGAACTCAACAGTTGCACAACTGTTGAGCAATTCGTCAATGTAATTGGTCTAGATTTAGGGATCTAATGGCACCTGCACACAGAACGCGGTAATGCTTACCTCGCGGCGGAAGTTCGTGTGACAGCCAATCAATATGCTGCTTTCCGTAATAACCTTCTAGCTCTTACGGAAAAACAACATATTGATTGGCTGTTGCGCGGACTTTCGTTGCGCGGCAAGCATTACCGCGTCCTGTGTGCAGGAGCCATTACCGCGACCTGTGTGCAGAAGCTATTACAGTAAGAATCAATAATCGCTGATTTACACCGCGTCCGATGTCCGACGTACGACGTCCGATATCCAATAAAAGAATAACTTTCTAATGGAGAATTGAATTCTATATTAGAAAGCTGTTCTCCTATTGGATATAGGACGTCGTACATCGGACGCGGTGTGAATCCTGCATTACGTAACCCAACTATTTCAAGGGGTGCGTTCAGATTCCCTACCCGGGTGCACTCTATTACTAGAAACACTATAGTATATGTTACATATACTATAGCACTTCTAGTATTAGAGTGCACCCTGGTAGGGAATCTGAACGTACCCAAGAATAGGGGCTCTGGGGGTCGATTATCCCAGATAGCATAGAGATGAACAGAAGTTCCTAGAGAATTCATTTTAAAGAATAGATATAGAATTAGAAAAATGAATACCAGAAGAATTCTTGAAGAATTAACCACAGTAAGTTCGTCTTGAAATATCCCTTAGGACTTCATTATAGCGAATACTTTGCAACTTAATTCCTAGAACACTTTGAGAATTCATGAGGAATTAGAGCTAAGGCAGAGAACGAGACGTAAGCGTCATAATCGTAGACGTAAAATAAGGCAGAGAAAAACGTAAGCGTAAGGCTAATAACCTTTCATGATTTACGTTTACGTTTTTCTCTGCTTTATTTTACGTCTACGACTATGACGCTTATGTCTCGTTCATCTGCTTTAGCCCTTACAAATGTTTTGTTTATAACAATTATTTTTTGCGCCTATATTCAGTACATGCCAGTGAATGTATAATAATTAATTTACATATTTACATATAAATTGTTTGATTTATTGTTATTCGCAGTTATTTATATTTTGTGGAATTAATTATATAGTTTTATATAATAGGGCAAAGAGAGAGACTTGTTAAAATAACTTTTGATATATAAAATTTTCACCTGTATCAATAATAAATATATTTATGCGAAGTATAAGGTATAGTAAAAAGAAATCCATTATTTTTCCAATAGATGGCTTTAGTAATGTGTATCTCGCGTTGTATAAGTGCGATCGGTTTACGCTAGATGGCGTTAGAAAGATAAGATTTCGTACTAAAAAAACTTCTCAGACAGTTTTGTAATTGTTTGACTCAGTATTGTTTGAGCGCGCGTCAAAGATGGACATCAGCAAAGAGAAAATACGCCATATTTTACAGTTTTTCTTCGATAAAGGTGAAAACGCAAGCCAGGCGGCTGAAAATGTGAATAGTGTTTATGGTCCTGATACTGTAACAACCAATCACCCGCAATTTTGGTTTCGTCGATTCCGTTCCGGTAATTTTGATGTCAAAGATGCACCACGCTCTGGAAGGCCAATTGTCGAAAATGTCGATAAAATAATGGAAATCGTCGAGTCCGACCGTCATGTAAGCACTGTTTCGATTGCCCAGGAGCTAAATATTGCACAAAAAACGTTTGGAACCACTTGAATAAGGCTGGATACAAAAAGAAGCTCGATGTATAGTTAACTCGTGTGCCACACGAGTTAACGCAAGAAAACCTCATGGACCGAATTTCTATCTGCGAATCGCTGCTGAATCGCAACAAAATC